GTTTTGTTTTTATTTATACAAGAACCGCGGTACAGGCCAGATTCGAGGAGGGTGAGAGGATTCAGCAGAGACAGAGCAGGGAACAGAACAGATAGATGAAATGCACTGCTGAGGGGAGCAGCGGGTGCGACAGGAGAAATCTGACGCACCATATGGGACTCTTGCCGGCTGGCCGGGATTGAACCAACACTGCAGAGGCTGTAGAGAACTTCACAGTGCTGCGCTCAACCGCCTGCGCCACCAGGGGAGGCCCTTAAATTCTGTTCTATCATTGAAAGCAATGATCTCTGTGGGGCACACAAAAGTGAAGTCGAGAGGGTAAGAGAAGAACCCAAAATATTTCCCTTTGTAATCAGACAGGTTGACATCTTTGAAATGACTCTCTGGCATAAAAGTTGTGGCTTTGAAGCTGGGGGCAGGGTGCCCAATTTTGGTATTTCCTGAAGACATCTTCCTATTAGCAGCTCTGGCACAGAACCCACTGAGTCAGGAAGAAGCCTGGTCAGTAATTTTTTAAGTCTTTCAGGTAGTCCTTTTATGAGCTGTACTTCAGGCCAATTGTTGAGGACATTTGTAAAAACGTAGGCTAGATGCTCTGCTCCCTGCTCTGGCTCTGATAAATTCTCTCACCCTCCCGCACTTCTGACTGTACCCAGTGCTTGTATAAATAAATAAATCTTTTTTAAAAAATTAAAAAAAAAAATGTAGGCTAGAGTCGATGCCAGTGGTAACAAATTAGCTACTGTAAGGGCAGGAAGGACCACTGAGCAGGTTTTCTGATCCAGCAGACTCTGATCCAGCAATCAGAGTCCTGAAGCCCTCAGTGGCTTTTTGCAGGCTTTTATTGGGATTTACCAGGCACATGGTAGACAGGGGTGCTGGGGGGCCAGGAGGCTGGCAGGCCTCCCAGCCCGCAGCAAGTCTTCACTCTGTCTGGGCTCTTCAGCCTTCTCTCTGCTTCTCTCTCTGCTTCTTGGCTTCTGCTGGCGTCCCCATGATGCCGCCCTTAAAAGCCCAGTCTTAGCCCAGGTGAATCCCATCTACCTATGCCCACACCCTACTCCAGGTGCCCGCTATCAGGCATGCATTCAGGACCTCAAGGATCCATCATCTATCCTGATGGCGGGAGGGCAGAAAAGCCTGACATTTTCCCTTACCCTACAGCTACCATTTATTGAATATTAACTATGTACCAGACACTTCAGATGTATTAATCCATTTACTCCTCACAACCCTATGAGGATGGTTTCTCTAATCCTTTCCTTGGTCAAATAGAAATTTGACCAGTCATATACCAAAGTAGCAGGCATTCTGACTTTAAAGCAGATCCTAGAAGGACTTTGTATTCCAGGCCAAAGAGGTGGGGTTTTCTTCTGTAACCATCTGTAAGGTAAGGTAAAAAGTATCAGGCTTTTCTGCCCTCCCCCCATTAGGATAGAGGATGGAACCCTGGGGTCCCGAATGCCTGATTGGGCACTTGGAGTAGGATGTGGGCATAGGTAGATGGGATTCACCTGGGCTAAGGCTGGGCTTTTAAGGGCGGCGTCATGGGGACACCAGCAGAAGCCGAGAGAAGCAGAAAGAAGCAGAGCGGCAGAGAAGCAGAAGCAGAACCAGTAGAGAGCAGAGCAGCAGAGACCACCATAGAATGCCAGAGAGCCCGAAAGAGTGAAGACTTGCTAGGGGTTGGGAGGCCTGCCAGCCTCCCGGCCCCCCAGCACCACTGCCTGCCATGTGCCTGATAAATCCCAATAAAAGCCTGCAAAAGCCACTGAGGACTCCAGGACTCTCTACTCCTTTATCCCAGTCTGCTGGATTAGAAATCCTGCTCTGTGCCCCTTCCTGCCTCTACACCATCTTTATTAGCTTAGTGAGAATTTGTCCAGAATTTCTTTATGCATATACAAGCAAATACAAATGCATATCCCCAATTTCTTTTTTTAATTTTTAAAAAAAAAAAAGATTTATTTATGTATACAAGAGCTGGGGCACAGGCCAGAGGTGTTGGGGGGGGGTGAGAGGATTCACCAGAGACAGAGTGAGAAACAGAACAGGCAGACTGACTGAAATACACTGCTGAGGGGAGCAGTGGGCAGCAGGAGAGGTCTGCTTCATCTTGTTGTTTGCTCTCTGGCCATCCGGGAATTGACTTATGCTGCAGAGGCTGCAGATTGCTTCACAGTGCAGTGCTTAACCCCTTGTGCCACCAGGGAGGCCCCAATAGCCCCCCATTTCTTACATAAGAGATAGTGTACTATATACTGTTCTATGTCTTGCTTTGTTAGCAATATATGCTGCATTTTTTTAATATGTCAGTACATAGAGAGCTTCCTCATTCTTTTTTCAGCTTCTTAGCATTTGTTCATGTGCATGAACCACAATTTATTTAGTCCTAGGTTTTTTCCAGTTCTATCAAAATCACACACACACACACACACACACACACACACACACACAGAGTTTTGCACATTCCCAGAAACTAAATTGCTGGGTCAAGGGGTATATGTGCATGTACAATGTCAATAGATACTGCAAAATTGTCCTCCATAGGTGTTCTACTATTTTGCCTTGCTACCTGCATTATATGTCTCTATGTAGGGACATTTAATTTTTTTAACCTTTTTTTATTGGGGGTAACATTGTTTTACAACTGTATTTGATTTAGGGGAATAGGTTAACACCGCCTCAGATATACATTGCCACACCACACCCACCACCAAAGCACCCACAGTTCTTTACTATGGGCTATTGGGCCTCCCCCCTTTTTGTTTCCACCCTTGCCCTCCTCAATTCTGTAGTCACAGGGTTTGTTTTGGCTTAGTTTTGTCAGTTCCTTTGTTGTGTTTCTCTATATTCCACATGAGTGAAATTATCCAGTATTTTGTCTTCCTCTTTCTGACTTATTTCCTTTTGCATAATCCCCTTCAGTTCTGTGCATGTTGTCACAAATGGCAAATTTTCATCTATTTTATAGCTGAGTAATATTGCTTAATGTGTATAACACTGGTCAAGTAGGGGAAAGTGAGATTTCAAATGACTAACATAGGAATAAAAATTAAGACATCACTACATATCCTCTGGGTATATGAAGGGAAATAAGCAACTACAATAAACAACATGAACAATTTTTTAAAAAGATTCATTTATTTATGCATACAAGAACTGGGGTACAGGCCAGAGGTGTGGGGGGTGAGAGGATTCACCAGAGACAGTGGGGAGCAGAACAGGAAGATCCACTGAAATACACTGCTGGGCCTCCCTGGTGGTACAAGGGGTTAAGACACAACCTATGAACCTATCCGCAGCCACTGCAGCACAAGTTGGATCCCCTGTCAGGGAGCTACCCCACATGGCACAGGAGACCTCTCCTGACTCACCCACTCCTCCCCTCAGCAGTGTATTTCAGTCAATCCACCTGTTCTGTTCCCTACTCTGTCTCTGGTGAATCCTCTCATCCCCCACACCTCTGCATAAATAAATAAATCTTTTTAAAAAATGAAAAGAAAAATGAAATACACTGCTGAGGGGAGCAGCAGGCAAGTCAGGAGAGGTCTGCTGCGCCATGTGGGTCTCTTCCCTGACTGGGGACAGAACTCGTGCTGCAGTGGCTGCAGATAGCTTCATAGGTTGTGTCTTAACCCTTTGAGGGAGGCCCCAACAACATGAACAATTTGATATCTTACATAAAATGAGCAAATTTCCTGAACAAAGTTAGTAAGATTAACATTAGAAGAAATAGAAACTCTTACTTGCTGCATAACTATTAAATAAATTGAATTCAACATTTTTCCCAGATAACTCCAGACCCAGATGGCTTTACCAGTGAATGCTAGCTTACATTTAAGGAAGAAATATCAGTCCTCCATGATTATTTAGAGAAAGTGGGGGATGAGAGACAGAAGTCTCACTCGTTTTATGGTCAACTTACTGTGACCCAAACTTGATTGTATCTTCTTGTGCTCATTTAGAGCAGTGTGTTTGTCATGGAACTGGCCCATTTTAATCTAAATTGTGAAATTTATTGCCATAGAGCTGCTTTTAAAAAAAAAAGATTTATTTTATTTATTTATGCATACAAGGGCCTCCCCTGGTGGTGCAGGCGGTTCAAACCCATGCTGTGAAGCTGTCCGTAGCCTCGCCTCTGCAGCGCAGGTTTAATCCCGTCCTCCCGGCGAGGGTCCCACATGGCGCAGCAGACCTCTCCTGTCTCGCCCGCTGCTCCCCTCAGCAGTGTATTTCTTTAGTCTGCCTGTTCTGCTCCCCACTCTGTCTCCGGTGAATCCTCTCACCCTCCTGTGAATCTGGCCTGCACCCCAGTTCTTGTATAAACAAATAAATAAATCTTTAAAAAAATAAAAAAAATATTTATACATGCAAGAACTGGGGTGTAGGCCAGAGGTGTGGGGGTGGGGGTGGAGTGGGCGAGAGAATTCACCAGAGACAGAGTGGGGAAAAAAACAGGCAAATACACTGCTGTAGCAGTGAAATACACTGCTGAGGGGAGCAGCGGGCAAAACAGGAGAGGTCTGCTGCACCATGTGTGTCAGTTCCCTGCAGAGGCTGTGCATAGCTTCACAGTGCTTAACCCCTTGCGCCACCAGGGAGGACCTCAAGATATTTTCTAATTTAATTTCTACATTGACTCTTCTGTTATTTAGTGATATTGTACTTACTTTCCCAGTAGTTCTGGATTTTTTAAAAATCTTCCAATTCCTATTATTTGGTCTTCAGCATCAGTGGTCCTGGCTTCATGCCTGAAGCTTTTCAGGGCAATGCCCCAAAGCACTACTAAGATCTGTGCCACCTGCCACTGGGTTTTTCATTACAGACATCCAACCCCCTCCCAAGTGCCCTGCCATACTGTCTTGGCTTTAGCAAACTACTTCCTAAGTCTCACTTAGGTAACTGCATGTAAGACTTCAGCAACAGAAGATGTCTGCTGGCCTCTGGAAACATCAATTTAATGAAGGTCTCTCTCTAAACAGAGAAATGGTAGGTAGAACTATCTTTACCCAAAATGTTGCAGATCAGTTATAGCAAACAGAATGCGACTGTCAAGGAAAACTGTCACGCTGGGCTTCTTTTGTTTGTTTTAAAGATTTATTGATTTATGCGTACAAGAACTGGGGTATAGGCCAGAGGTGTAAGGGCTGAGAGGATTCACTAGAGACATAGTGGGGACCAGAACAGGCAGAAAAGGTCTGCTGCACCATGTGAGTCAGTTCCCTGGCAGGGGATCAAACTCGAACTCATGCTGCAATGTCTGCCAATAGCTTCATAGTGCTGAGACTTAGCCCCTTGCACCACCAGGGAGGCGCTGGGCTCCTCTTTGATCATAGCAGCTAAGTGGAAGGAGCTGCAGCTTCCACAAGGGCCACAGTTCTGGATTTTCTAGTTATCATATTGCTACTTATTATATATTTGTACTATAAACAGGGGATGTGCTGTGTATTATTTCAATCCTTTGAAATATATTAACCTTACTCTAAAGTTCTGGATATAGTTTATTTTGGCATAATTAATATAGTTAATGATGTCCTACATGCATTTCAAAAAAGTTTATCCTGTTGTTGTTGGCTGTAGTATCCTGAGTATAGATCATTTATATCCTTCCATATTCAAAGAGAGTGGGACAGGAGATGTGCGGATCTACATTTTGCTTAAATAAGCTTTTAACTACCCATCTTTGTTTATTACCTCTTACTCTCAGAGTTGGTGCAGTTAATTACAAAATTTATATTATGCTAATTTTTAACCTCCCACTTGCTAGTATATAATTTAACTTTCTGTGCTCTGCTATATCCATTATCAAATTGGAAAACACATTCCAGAATTTTCCTTTCCAATTCTTTTTGTCCTTATGGGTTGATGTTTTGTTCTATTACTTTTATAATCACATTTTAAAGAATAACTTAATTTTTGAGTGATAGGCATATACTTGAAAAACGAAAGTGAAAAGGTCTGTGGTAGAAAAGATTTTGCCATCATTGTCCATCTACCCAGTGACTACTCTCCCCCAATAATAACCATTATTATTAATTATTTTTTAATATTTATTTTTATTTATTTATGCATACAAGAACTGGGGTGTAGGACAGAGGTGCAGGGGGTGAGAGGATTCACCAGAGACAGAGTAGGAAGCAGAACAGGCAGATCTACTGAAATACACTGCTGAGAGGCGCAGTGGTTGAGACAGAAGAGGTCTGCTGCACCATGTGGGTCAGCAGCCTGGCTGGGGATCAAACTTGTGCTGCTGTGCCTGGCAAAAGCTTGATAGCACTGACTTTAACCCCTGCACCACCAGGGAGGCCCTATTATTAATTTAATGTATAATACTATAGTGTTTTCATTCTCTCTCTCCGATATAGACAATAAAACTTATTAATAGAACTTCTCAAATGTATACAAAAGTAAATAATAATTCTGGTTTCTTTGATTAGTTTTAATTTTTAAAAAGATTTATTTATACAAGAACTGGGGTACAGGCCAGAGGTGCGGGAGGATGAGAGAATTCACCAGAGACAGAGTGGGGAACAGAATAGGCAGACTGACTGAAATACACTGCTGAGGGGAGCAGCGGACGCCACAGAAGAGGCCTGCCACGCTATGTGGGAATCTCCCTGGTTAGCCGGGAATCGAACCCGTGCTGCAGAGGCTGCGGACAGCTTCACAGCACTGCGCTCAACCCGCTGCGCCACTGGGGGAGGCCCTTATTATTTTTTTAAAGAATAATTCTGAATGAGCCAGAAAAGTCTGAGCCCTATCTATGAACGGTCAAAACAGCCACATTGGAAAAATTAGGAGTAGAACAGAACTTGAGTAGCAGGAACATAGTGTTAAAAGAAAATCAAGGTCCAGATAACAGTGAGGGAGGAAAACAGAAACCTGGATAACTTCCTAAGCAAGTTTCCTTATGTCTGAGCTCTTCACAAGAACAGAAGAGGGAGCTATAGAGCCATGAAGTTATAAAAAGTGAATCTGAACCATGCCTCCTAAACATTCAAGAAAATTAAATTCATATAAAAGAATGGAGGTCAAATCTAATATAAAGTTATTGTAAGAACAAAGAGTATAAGGAGCAGAATAGCATCCCTCTAGACAATGAGAGGATGCCAGAAAGACATGCATGCAAAACAAAGTGAAAACTTCATCCTAGTATTTTGAAATGAGCGAAGAGATTAAGAAATGGTGTGAGGTAGGAAAAAAACAGCATAAGTCTGAATGAAAAAAAAAACAACAACGTGGTAATATAATTCAAGAAAAAATCGAGACAAAATGAAGACTAAACTAGAAAGAATATTAAGTGCAAACGTAGTGTGAATTTTGACAGTGGTTTTTTTCTTTCTTCTTTTGTAATGCAAGTGCCTGACTTAAGCTTTGATTGCCTAGGCTGCCATTTCATTGAGAGCTCCTACCTCCCATCCAAGTACTAACTGGGCCCTAACCAGCTTTGCAGATGTTCAGGGTGCTGTAGCCCTGTGGTGTATTAAAAAGCAATATGCAATTGGTAATTATGACACTCTTATGTAAATTTCAACATAAAAATAGCAGCTCCCCGACAAACTAAAATTGTTCTTGTTCTCTATTCAAAATTCTATGACCATAGCCAAAATAAAAATATGAATACTAAAAGAAACAAACACAAAAAACAAAGAGGGCTACCTAGAATAAACACATTTCCAGCCACACACTAGGTAAAGAGCCCCCACTGAGGAGTCTTTGTTTTAGAGACCTTAGTTTATTTCAGTTACTGATCATTTGGCCTACTTGCTTTTCTCTTCCTGTGCTTTCAATTCCTGCTGTTATGTTTTCAATTCACTAGCAGTGAATTCACGAGAATCCTAGGCTCCTACCCTCCATCCCAATAAAAGCAGAACTCCATGTCTGTACATTAACCTCCCTCAAATCTTGCTATGTTGCCCCAGGTATGTTGTGTGATTTCCAGGTCCAGTAAGTGATAAACCAACATCAAAGAATCTTGATGTTGCTGAAGGGCATCTTGCAATTATTATAAAAACCAAAGGATTAGTTCAGCCTCAATATTGGTTATTGATAAACTGAGACCAACAAAGAATAGCGAATAAACAACAATACTAGAGAAATAAACAAAAAGGAGGAAATTTTTTTCAGTGATGCATTTAATGAAGTCTTTTTTGTTTTTCCTTTTTTCTTACAGTTTTATTGAGGAATAATTGGCACACATTACTGTATAGGTTTAAGGCATATAACATGATGATGTGATTTACATATATTGTGAAATGATTACCAGAATAGGTTCCACTAACGTATATCTTCTCATAGAAATACAATAAAAAGAAGACAAAGAAGAAAAGAAAAAGGAAAAAGCATTCCTCCCTTTGATGAGAACTTGCTAGTGAACACCAGCCTCAGTTTCCCTCAGCCAATAAAAGGAAACAGTTTGAGGAAAAGGAAAGTGGTTTCATTAATTTGTCGACAAATGAGGAGGGCTGCAGACTGAAAGACAACGGTCCTGCTCTTTGGCAGAGTGCAGGGGTATTTATACAAAGGAAAAAAAGGGGAAGATGGGCTAGGGTCTGCAAAGGGGAGGGGAAGGGGATCAGCATGGACACCGGTGGGCACCAGCTTGCTTTTTTACAACCACCACTGTTTAACTCCCTTCTCCTTGGAATGCAAGAAGACAAACCTGTCAAACAAGGGGGAAATTGCAAGAAATACGGAAAGATAAACTTGTTAATGCTTATCTGAGAGACCAGTCATTTGTAACTGCATCACTCTTAAGATTTAAGCAAGAGTTCTGGCTGCAGCAAGAGTTTGATCCCTGGCCAGGAAGGTGACCCACATGGAGCAGTAGACCTCTCCTGTCTTGCCTGCTGCTCCCCTCAGCAGTGTATTTCAGTCAGTCTGCCTGTTCTACTCCCCACTCTATCTGTGGTGAAGCCTCTCACCTCCTGCACCTCTGGCCTGCACCCCACTTCTTGTATGCATAAATAAATCTTAAAAAAAAAAGATTTTGAAAGGTTCGGCATGGTAAAGAAAAGGAGAGCCAGGCTAAATTTCTCAAAGGAAGGGAAAATTTATTGCGCCCTGGGCAGACCTCACGGACCCAAGGTGGGGGTCCGTGAAGCCATTCTCGTTGTGAGGAGAGATGTCTCTATAGGTTGAGGAGAGTTTAGGCAGGAAAACTGAGTTGGCAGGGGGAAAACAGGTTTAGGCGGAACAAAATTGTTTTGGATGGAGCCGAGTTGTTTTCTCCTGTTTATGGCTTCAGTTTAGGTTTGATGGTATCAGTGGTCCTGGTGTCAAGGGTCATCTTGACTTTTTCTGTGTGGGCGTCCTCATTCCTGGCCCCTGCATCGACCTTTCAGATTTACTCTCTTAACAACCTTCCTAGGTATCATGCAGCATTATTAATTAGAGCTATCGTGTGGTACCTTGCATCCCTAATACTTATTTATTTTATAACTGGAAGTTTGAACTATTTGACCACCTTCCTCCAATTCCCCATCCCCTTACCTCCACCTCTGGTAACCACAAAGTCTGATCTTTTTCTTTTTCTTTTTTTTTTAAGATTTATTTATTTATGCATACAAGAGCTGAGGTACAGGCCAGAGGCATGGGGGGGTGAGAGGATTCACCAGAGACAGAGTGGGGAACAAAACAGGCAGACTGACCAAAGTTCACTGGTGAGGGGAGCAGGGGGCGAGTCAGGAGAGGTCTGCTGAGCCCTGTGGGTTGTCCCTGGCTGGCCGGTAATTGAGCTTGTGCTGCAGAGGCTGCAGATAGCTTCACAGGTTGCGTCTTAACCCTTGCACCACCAGGGAGGCCCCTTTTTCTTTTTCTTTTGAGATTTTACTTATTTCTTTTTGTGTAGAACTGGGGTGCAGGTCAGAGGTGCGGGGTGGTGGTGGTGGTGAGAGGACCCACCAGAGACAGAGTAGGGAGCAGAACAGGCAGATTTACTGAAACACGCTGCTAAGGGGAGCAGTGGGTGAGACAAGAGAGGTTTTCTGTGCCATGTGGGTTAGCTCGCTGGCAAGGAATCAAACCCATAGCAGTGATAGCCCTGAGACTTAACCCTTAGGCCACCAGGGTGGCCCTTCTTTTTCTATGAGTTTGTTTGTTTTTTAGATTCCACATATCAGTGAGATTATATAGCATTTGTCTTATTATGGCTGACTTATTTCACTTAGCATAATGGCTTCAAAGTCCACTCATGTTGTCATAAACAGTAGGATGTCCTTGGTTTTGATGTTGTTTTTGGAGTCAGTGGGTTTGGAGTGCGGGGTACTTGGGTTCACTCTGGGAAAGGTTTTACCAGCGCTGCCCTTCCAACAGCATGTGGTGAAGTTCCCCAGGCAAGTTTCTCCACGAGACAGAGACGTTAGTGGTATTTAAAG